TGCTGATCTTCTAAATGAACAGAGATGTTCCCGAGAAGCCAAGTGAACAGCGCGCAGTACAAAGGCAGACCGACGTATTTCCGCGATAGCCTAAGCAAAATAAATTAATTAATTAATTAATTAATTAATTAATTAATTAATTAATTAATAAACAAATAAATAGAAAAGAAATACGTAGAAACGGAAGCAAATAAACAATATTGCAACTGCAGCAGCATGAGCATACCATCAGCAGCAACACAAGTAACGAAAACAACAGCAGCAGCAGCAGCAGCAACAGCAACAGCAACAGCAGCAGCAGCAACAGCATGGCCATCCATATGCGACGGCAGCAGCAGCACCAGCAACAGCACCACCACCACCAGCACCAGAACCACCAGCAGCAGCAGCAGCAGCAGCAGCAGCAGCAGCAGGAGACAAGAGGGCGTCTTACTTGCTGTCCCTGCTTGTGCGTCCTTGTGAGGTATATAATGCTGCAGTGTCTCCGCTGCCCAGAGCGCAGAGCTTCAAACCGATGCCACCCCAAAGCAGCACAAAGCAAAGCTGCTGTCTTTCCTGTCCCTAAACAGCAGCAACAGCAGCAGCAGCAGCAGCAGCATGATGATGATTATTAGTGTGATCAGCAGCTGCTGCAGCAACAGGGAAAAAAGCAGCATCTGGGGAGGCACCAAGAGCAGCAAAAGCTACAAACTGCTGCTGCTGCTGCATGAACACAAATTGCAGAGTCAGAGACAGCAGCAGCAGCCGCTGCAGCAGCAGCAGCGGCAACAGCAACAATATCATCAACGGCAACAGCAACTACAGGAGCAGAAACGCCAGCAGCAACAGCCACTGCAGCAGCAGCAGCAACACCAGAAGCAACCGCAACAGAGCGATGAGAAACAGCAGCAGCAGCAGAAGCAGCAGCAACTGCAGCAGCAGCAGAAGCAGCAGCAGAAGAAGTAGCAACTGCAGCAGCAGAAGCAGCAGCAACTGCAGCAGCAGCAGAAGCAGTAGCAACTGCAGCAGCAGCAACAGCAGCAACTGCAGCAGCAGTAGCAACTGCAGCAGCAGCAGCAGCAACTGCAGCAGCAGTAGCAACAGCAGCAGCAGCAGAAGCAGCAGCAGCAGAAGCAGCAGCAGCTGCAGCAGCAGCAGAAGCAGCAGCAGAAGCAGTAGCAACTGCAGCAACAGAAGCAGCAGCAACTGCAGCAGCAGCAGCAGCAGCAGCAATATATCTTGCCTGTGGGGGACTCCAATATGAGGTGCTTCTGCTGCATGCAGGCTTTAACAAGGCGCTCCATGATTTGCTGCTGCGGCTGCAGCAGCCGCGAGTAATGAAAAGGAATAGAGACACCGCAAACAGAGACAACTTGCTGCACCCGATCAGCAGCTAAAGGAGGCAGCGCCAAAGGCACACCCTTGCTGCTGCTGCTGCTGCTGTTGCTGCTGCTGCTGCTGAGGGGTCGCACGTCCACAAGGGGAATGCTGCTGCTGCTGCTCGCCCTGCTGCTGCTGCAAGTACTACTCTGACTACTTGACACACTGCGGCTGCTGCTGGTGCTGCTGCTGCTGCAGCAATTGCTGTCCGGCCCTGTAGCAGCAGCAACATCAGCAGCAGCAGAAGCAGCAGCAACAGCAGCAGCTGCGGCTTCTCCCGGTGGCACTTCATAATTTGCTGCTCCAAAGGCAAAGCGAGACAGACTTTCTGCTGCTGCTGCTGCTGTCCTTGCAGGAGGTGCTGCTGCTGCTGGTGCAGCAGCAAATGGTGCTGCTGCTGCTACACCTATCCCCGGTAAATCTGCTTCTGCTGCATCGCTAAGCATTGCTGCTGCTGCTGCGGCATCTGTTTCCTCTGCATTTGCTGCAGAAGCATCAGCAGCACCTGCAGCATCTGCTGCATCGGTAGCCTCAGAAGCAGCAGCAGCAACAGCAGCAGCAGCAGCATGAGGCTCTGGCTTTACCGGCTGCTGCTGCTGCAGCTGCTGCTTACACCCTGTAAGCCCAGCATTGCTGCTGCCTCCTCCTTGTTCTCCTTTTGTCTTGCAGCAAACTGACGACTTCTCTCCCATAGGCAGTCCGCTGCTGCTGCTGCTGCTGCTGCTTTGAGAGCCAGCACCTGCAGCACCAGCACCTGCAGCAGCACCTCCAGCAGCAGCAGCAGCAGCAGCAGCAGCAGAGAGGTCTGCCCTCAGCTGCAGCAGCGCCAGCTGCTCTGCAAGGAGATCAACGCTAGGAGCGAAGGGACGGGGCCCCTGGGGCCCCATCAGAAGGTTTTGGTAGCAAGGAGCAGCAGCTTCGATAATATCTGCATGCAGCTGCTGCTGCTGCTGCTGCTGCTGCTGCTCTTGCTGCTGCTGCTCCGGCTGATGCTGCTGCTGATGCTGCTGCTCTTGGCTGAAAGGCACCCCAGAAAAATTACCCAAAATGTGACGGTGCTTCTGCTGCCGTTGCTGCTGCTGCTGCTGCTGCTGCTGGTCCCCATCCTGCAGGCTTCTCTTAGCTAAGAATCCATAGGCTTCCAGTCCTCGTTGTCTTTCTCGCTGCTGCTGCTGCTGCTTCTGTTGCTGCTGTTGGAGCTGCTGCTCGTGCTGCTCTTGCTGATGCTGCAGCGGTTGCTGTAGTTGCTGCTGCTGCTGCTGCTGCAGCTGCTGCAGCTCAGCCTTTGGTGGCAGCGGAACAAACTGGAGGCCCCTGGGGGCCCCCGCAGCAACACGGCGTTTGCTTATAGGCGCCACCGGCAGCAGCGGGGGGCTTTCTTCCTGGTTGTTGTTGCTGCTGCTGCTGCTGTTCTGCATGGTTGCTGCTGCTCCTGCAGCAGCTGCAGCAGCAGCTGTCTCAGCTGCTGCTGCTTCTGCCGCGGCTTCTTTAGCTGTTGTTGTTGTTGGTGATGGTGGTGGTGCTGCTGCTGCTGTTGTTGCTGCTGCTGCTGCTGCTGCACGACGTGGGGCCCCCCAGCCCTGCTGCTGTTAGGGAGAGCAGCTGTGAATAAGAGAAGCTCTTCTGCAAGCAGCAGCAGGCGCAGCAGCTAGAAATGATGAAATAAGTAAGAAGAAGAAGAAGCAGCAGTATTTACAGCTGCTGCTGCTGCTGCTGCTGCTCTCCGGGGGGCCCCCGGGGCCCCCCTTGTCTGGGGCCCCCGCTGCAGCGGTGGGGTTGTTGTTATGCAGCAAAATAGAAGAAGTAAGAGAAGCAGCAACAGCAAAATAGCAAATTAACGTTTTCTTTGTTTTTCTTCTTTGTTCAGAGGGGCACACACCCCAGAAATATAACTTTTCGCCTGCAGCAGCAGCAGCAGCAGCTGCTGCTGCTGCTGCGGTTAACTGTAGAGGCGGCGTCGGCAGCAGCAGCAACAGCAGCAACGCACAGGCGTCCAGCACACAACTTCTATTCCTCTCTATGGGGGATTGCTTTGCAGCAGCTGCTGCTGCTGATGTTGCTGCTGCCTTCTTGAGGTGCTGATTAGCAACAGCTGCAGCAGGAGTAGCAGCCGCAGCAGCAACAGTAGCAGCAGCAGTAGCAGCGTCAGGCATATCCACATGACAGCGAGAGCGCGGCGACGCATTGCATATCTGTTGCAGCAGCAGCCGCAGCAGCAGCAGCAGCAGCGGTTGCTGCTGCTTCTGCCTCCATAGCAATGGTGCGGCAGCGACGGCCCCCAGATGCAGCAGCACCCGATGCAGGACCCAAGCAAGCAGCAGCAGCTGCAGCAGCAGCAGCAGCGGCAGCGGCAGCAGCAACAGCACCAGGGGGCATCTCGTCTGTATTGAGTAGCAGCAGCAGTCGCCTCCCGGTTGCTGCTTCTCCTTCCTTCCGGCTGCAGCGGTTGCTGCTGGCACCGCAGCAGCAGCAGCAGCAAAAGCAGCAGTCAGTCGGTAGGTCTTCGCAACAGCCAAGTGCTGCTGCTGCTGTCTCCCCCAGCATACCGGTATACTGCGGCAGCAGCAGCAGCGACGATGAAATAGAAGAGTGCACACAGCGGCAACGCAGCACTGCTGCAGCAGCTGCAGCAGCAACAGCAACAGCAGCAGCAGCAGTAAAGAGAACACCAACGCCATCAGTAGTAGCAACGGCAACTCCCTCAACATCTGCAACGCCTAGAGATCCCAGCCCACAGCAGCAGCAGCAGCAGCAGCAGCAACAGCAACAGCAGCACCAGGAGCAGCAGCTGCAGCAGAAGCGTTCACCTGGGTCTCCAGACACCTTGAAGGGCTCGGCGGACGCGAAGCGTCGCAACAGCAGCAGCAGCAATAGCAGCAGCAGCAATAGCAGCAGCAGCAATAGCAGCAGCAGCAATAGCAGCAGCAGCAATATCAGCAGCAGCAATAGCAACAGCAGCAACAGCAGCAACGTCTGCAGCAGCAAGCGTTTGGTGGACGGAGAGTCTCAGGTGTCCTCTCAGCACAGCAGCGGCAGCAGCAGTAGCTGCCATGATGATTGCAGCAGCAGCAGCAGCAGCAGCAACAGCAGCTGCTGCTGTCAAAGGAGCAACAGCATACCAGCAGCAGCAGCTGCTGCAGTGAGTCGGCTCTCACGTCTGGTGGTTGTGCTGCTGCTGCTGCTGCTGCGGACTCTTCAGTGCGAGAAGCCCTCGAGGAAGCGCAGCAGTCTGTTAGGCAGCTGCTGCCTCTGCTGCAGCCCCCCCACGATCCATACACAGCATCATTCCTTGCTCTGCTGCCGCAGCAACAGCAACAGCAACAACAGCAGCAGCAGCAGGAACAGCAACAACAGCAGCAGCAGCAAAAGCAGCAGCAGCAAAAGCAGCAACAGCAACAGCAGCAGCAGCAGCAGCATGCGGAATGCCTCTTTTCTGAAGGAGAGGGGGGTGCTTCTTCTTGCTGCCAGCAAGAAGAAGCACAGTGGATTGTTAGTAGCCCCAGTGAGGCAACAGATGCAGAACCAGCAGCAGCAGCAGCAGCAGCAGGTGCAGCAGCAGATGGAGACAGCACGTCGGAATACACTGCAGCAGATGCTGCAACAGAAGGAGACAGTGAAGCAGCAACTGACTCTGATATCGACCCAACTTTGTGTGCGGATTGGGGGTATGTCTGTGTTCCTGCTGCTTCTGCTGCTGCTGCTGCTGCTGCTGCTGACGGTCTTCCCCCCAACGGCAGCAGCAGCAGCCGGCGTCGCCGCCGCCGCAGTAGCAGCAGCAGCAGCAGCAGCAGTTTTTGTGAGGCCCTCTTCAGCTCCGATGGAGACACGACTCCTCTAGGCACTCTCCGGCAGCAGCAGCAGCAGCAAAAGCAGCAGCAGCAGAAGCAGCAGAAGCAGAAGCAGAAGCAGCAGCAGCAGCCTTCAGGACGCACGAAGCAGCGAAAGTCCTCCCAAGCGACATCTGCGTCTTCTGCCTCACAGAGCAGCAACAGCAGCAACACCAGCAGCAGCAGCAGCAGCAGCAGCAGGTGGAGCGCATCATCGGAGTGCAGCAGCGCTTCCGGCGGTGCTTACGCTTCGTTTCTCTCCTGGTGGGAGTCTGGGGGGCGTGCTGTTGCTGCTGCTGCTGCTGCTGCTTCGTCCCTGCAGCGGCTGCAGCAGCAGCATCATCCTTCGCTGCATCAATTTTTCTCACCCCACACCCCTCTGGCAAGGCGAGCCCTCGAACTCAGCAGACAGGTATCTGCTGCTGCTGCTGCTGTTGCTGCTGCTGCTGCTGCTGCTGCTGTTGCTGCTGCTGTGCAGGAGGAGGGAAGAGTCTGTGCTACCAGTTGGCTGCTTTGCTGCTGGGGGGCGTCTGCGTTGTGGTGTCTCCGCTGATTGCTTTGATGGAGGACCAGCAGAGACATCTGCAGCAAAAAGGAATTAGAGTTGAGAGGCTTGATGCCTCCCTCTCCAAACAGGAAGTCTGCTGCTGCTGCTGCTGCTGCTGCTGCTGCTGCTGCTGCTAGTGCTGCTCCCGCTGCTGCTCCTGCTGCTGCTGCTAATGCTGCTGCTGCTGCTGCTCCCCTGCTGCTTCTGCTGCTCATCCTCATGCTGCTCTTGCCTGCTCCTTTTCGGTGCTGCTGTTGTTGCTGCTTCTGCGTTTGCTGCTCCTTCTCGTGCTGTTCCTGCTGCTGCTGCTGCTGCGTCGATCCTGCTGCTTCGCTGCTGTTGCTGCTGTTGATTTCTTAGTTTTGGTTTCTGCTGCGCACGTTGCTACTACCGCTGCTGCTGTTGCTGCTGCTGCTGCTGTTAGGTGCGCCGGGTGTACGGGGACCTGCGCAGCAGCTCTCCTCAGACGCAAGTGCTGCTGATAACAGCAGAAAGACTAACAGCTTCTAAACGGCTTGCAGAGACATTCGACTGCCTCTACCGCCGCCGTCTCCTACGGCTATTCGTTGTCGATGAGGTATGCCTAGGGTTTAGGGTTTAGGGTTTAGGGTTTAGGGTTTGTTGTTTAGGGTTTGTGGTTTGAGGTTTAGGGTTTGTGGTTCGTGGTTTAGGGTATAAGATTAAGGATTTAGCGTTTGCGGTGTGTGGTTTGTGGTTTGTGGTTTAGGGTTTAGGGTTTAGGGTTTAGGGTTTGTGGTTTTGATTGCAGGCGCATTTGGTGTCTCAGTGGGGCGAAGATTTTCGCGGAGAATATTTGGGGTTGTCGGTGTTTAAACAAAAATATAAAGGGGTTCCTGTCCTTGCTCTTACTGCTTCTGCTTCGCCAGAGGTAGCTCCTAGGGTTTAGGGTTTAGGGTCTAGGGTCTAGGGTCTAGGGTCTAGGGCTTAGGGTTTAGGGCTTAGGGTTGGGGGTTTGGGGTTTGAGGTTTGGGGTTTGGGGGCTTTGGTTTATTTAGGGTTTAGGGTTTAGGGTCTAGGGTTTATGTGTTACGGTGTAGGGGGTAGGGTTTAGGGTGCGGAATTCAGGGTTTAGAGTTTAGGGTTTAGGGTTTAGGGTTTAGGGTTAATATATATATATATATATATGTTTATTGATTTATACATATTACATATGTATATTCATATATATATAATATATATCTACATATATATATACCGGTATATATTTATCTGTTTATTTATATTATATATACATTTATAAAGTATGTTTCTGCGTTTACTTATTTATCTGTTTATTTATTTATTTATTTATTTATTTATTTGTTTGTTTATTTGTTTGTTTGTTTGCATGCAGCTGGAGCTGCGCGTGTTGCGATTACTATCGATAAATTTTGGTTGCTCTTTGCGGATGAGCTGCGACCGTCCTAATTTGTTTATAGAAGTCTTGAACAAGACAAAAGAAACATTAGCATTAATTGCTGCTGCTCTGCTGCAGCAGCCTTTAATTAATCAATGCGGTATTATCTACTGTCTCTCTACAAAGGAGACAGAACATATTGCTGCTGCGCTTCGGACAAGGGGCATCCATGCGATTGCTTATCATGCACAACTTTCTTATTCAAGGAGAGAAGCTGTAAATTAATTATATTTATTTATTTTGTTTATTTATTTATAAATGTATTTATTTATTTTGTTTGTTTATATATAAATTTATTTATTTTGTTTATTTATTTATTTATAAATGTATTTATTTATTTTGTTTATTTAAATATATTTATTTATTTATTTATTCGTTTATTTATTTATTTTTCTATTTGTTTGTTTATTTATTTATTGATTTGTTTAACTAATTATTTAATTATTTATTTATTTGTTTTTTATTTGTTTATATCCGTGTACCATCAATTCTTTTTTGCCTCCTTCTTCTCTTGTTGTTATTATTATTATTATTATATCATATTACTATTTATTATTATTATTTATTATTATTATTATTTATTATTGTTATTATTATTATTACTGCTACACTTATTATCCTTATACTTATTATTCTTATACTTCTCCTCCTCCTTCTTTCTCCTCCGCCTGCTTCTCTTTCTGCCGTTGCTGTTGCTGCTGCTTCTGCTGTTGCTGCTGCTTCTGCTGTTGCTGCTGCTGCTGCTGCTGCTGTCCCTGTCTCAGAAGGTGTTGCTGCCTTTCTCCCTTCTCGTGCGCCATGGCTTGTCTTCCCTGGTGCTGCTGCTGTTGCTGTTGCTGCTGCTGCCGCTATTGCTGTTGCTTCTGTTGCTGCTGCTGCTGCTGCTGCTGCTGCTGCTGCTGCTGGTTCAGGTGTCTAGACAGTGGGGCTCTGGAGCTCCGTTGGTGGTTTGCTGCACTGTTGCCTTCGGCCTCGGGGTTGATCGCTCTGATGTTCGCTTTGTCTTTCATCATTCTATGCCCCCTTCTATCGAAAGGTTTGCTGCTGTTGCTGCTGCTGCTGCTGCTGTTGCTGCTGCTGGGGCGGTGCTGCTGCTGTTGCTGTTGGTGCGGCTGCAGGTGATGGTCGTGGTATTTGTTCAGGTGCTGCTGCTTCTGTTGCTGCTGCTGCTTCTGTTGCTGTGGCTGTTGCTGTTGTTGTGCCTGCTGCTCCTGCTGCTGCTGCAGTTGCTGCTGATTCTCGCGCACGCTGCTGCAACTGTTTGAATAGTTTTATCTGAGTTATTTTATTTATTTATTTATTTATTTATTTATTTATTTACTGCATTTATTTTATTTTTATTGTATTGTATTTGTTTTATTAAGTAGTTGTGATTATTTATTTATTTATTTATTTATTTATTAGTTTATTTGTATTTGTTTAATTTATTATTTGTTTAGATATTATCAAGAAATCGGCAGAGCCGGAAGAGATGGTTTGCCTTCGCGGTGTATTTTATTTTATACTCCGTCAGATGTTACACGCAAATCGTGCTGCTGCTGCTGCTGCTGCAGACGCAGCAGCAGCAGCAGCAGCAGCAGCAGGTGTTTCTAATGAAGAATTAAAGTCGCGTGGTTTAGAAGAGATGAAGAAGTTCTGCGAAGAAGACGCCAACTGCCGCAGGGCCTTGCTGCTGCAGGCTCTGGGGGAGGCCCCACCTGCTGCTGCTGCTGCTGCTGCTGCTGCTGCTGCTGTCGTTTGTCACAGCCAATGTGATAACTGCTGGAAACGACAGAATTGCCGTTTCGAGGTACTGCAGCACTTACCTTCACTTTTGTTTTTCGTTTGCTGCTGTCTCTTTCTGTCTCTGGTTTGGTGTGCGTTGCTGTCTCTTTTGCTGCTGCTGTTGCTGCTGTTGTTGTTGTTGTTGTTGTTGTTGTTGTTGTTGTTGTTGTTGTTGTTGTTGTTGTTGTT